GTGTCTGTGTAAGTCTGTGTGTGTCTGTGTGTGTCTGTGTGTGTCTGTGTGTGTGTGTCTGTGTGTGTCCGTGTGTGTGTGTCTGTGTAAGTCTGTGTGTGTCTGTGTGTGTCTGTGTGTGTCTGTGTGTGTGTGTCTGTGTGTGTCCGTGTGTGTCTGTGTGTGTCTGTGTGTGTCTGTGCGTGTCGGTGTGTGTCGGTGTGTGTGTCTGTGTGTGTCTGTGTGTGTTGTGTGTGTCTGTGTGTGTGTCTGCGTGTGTTCTGTGTGTGTGTGTGTGTGTGTGTGTGTGTGTGTGTGTGTGTGTGTGTGTGTGTGTGTGTGTGTGTGTGTGTGTGTGTGTGTCTGTGTGTCTGTCTGTGTATCTGTGTGTGTGCCTGTGTGTGTGTGTGTGTCTGTGTGTGCGTGTGTCTGTGTGTGTGTGTGTGTGTGTCTGTGTGTGTGTGTGTTTGTCTGTGTGTGTGGTGTCTGTGTGTGGTGTCTGTGTGTGTTGTCTGTGTGTGTTGTCTGTGTGTGTTGTCTGTGTGTGTTGTCTGTGTGTGTTGTCTCTGTGTGTTGTCTCTGTGTGTTGTCTCTGTGTGTTGTCTCTGTGTGTTGTCTCTGTGTGTTGTCTCTGTGTGTTGTCTCTGTGTGTTGTCTCTGTGTGTTGTCTCTGTGTGTTGTCTCTGTGTGTTGTCTCTGTGTGTTGTCTCTGTGTGTTGTCTCTGTGTGTTGTCTCTGTGTGTTGTCTCTGTGTGTTGTGTCTGTGTGTTGTCTCTGTGTGTTGTGTCTGTGTGTTGTGTCTGTGTGTGTGGTTTGGTGTCTGTGTGTGTGTCTGTGTGTGTGTGTGGTGTTCGTGTGTGTGGTTGTGTGTGTGTCCTTTGTGTGTCTCTGTCTGCGTGTGTCTCTGTCTGTGTGTGTCTCTGTCTGCGTGTGTCTCTGTCTGTGTGTGTCTCTGTCTGTGTGTGTCTCTGTCTGTGTGTGTCTCTGTCTGTGTGTGTCTCTGTCTGTGTGTGTCTCTGTCTGTGTGTGTCTCTGTCTGTGTGTGTCTCTGTCTGTGTGTGTCTCTGTCTGTGTGTGTCTCTGTCTGTGGGTGTCTCTGTCTGTGTGTGTCTCTGTCTGTGTGTGTCTCTGTCTGTGTGTGTCTCTGTCTGTGTGTGTCTCTGTCTGTGTGTGTGTCTCTTTCTGTGTGTGTCTATGTCTGTGTGTGTGTCTCTGTCTGTGTGCGTGTCTGTGTGTGTGTGTCTGTGTGTGTGTGTGTGTGCGTGTCTCTGTGTGGCCCTCTGTCTGTGTTGTGTCTGCGTGTGTGTGTCAGTTAGTGTGTGTGTGTGTGTGTGTGTATGTTAGTGTGTGTGTGTGTGTGTGTATGTTAGTGTGTGTGTGTGTGTGTGTGTGAACCTCCCTAGCACATGGGAGCAGAGGGTCACTCCTACACTGTTTGCAATTTTTGCTTTTCAACTTAATCAGACATTGGACATTTACCAAATCAACTGTTGCAGGGGGATCAGGCTTCCAGTGACTGACCTGATCCAACGAAGCTAGGTCACTGGAAGGGAAGTGATTGAGGACGCTCAGTCATGTACCTGCGCAATTTTCGGCAGCCCCCTGTGGTGCCAAGATTAGTGTGAGGACAGGCCCCCTGTGGTGTCCAGATTATACAAACAAGTTGTACGGTTGCCACAATCTGACAAACTTTTACAACATGAACAACATGCCTCTCTTTTTCTTCTTGCACTCGTACTCTTGGCCGAATCCATCAGTGTGATCAGCGTGGGTCGATGAGACTCCAGAGCAACGGCTTTCCGTCATGGCGCCGTAGTGACCCTCCGGGGAGACCGGTGATGAACCGGGTGTTCAGCCTTCGTTCAGATCGTTCAGAATCTCCCGATGCTACTTTATCTCTCTCTCTCTGATGCCCGCATGTGAGTCTGACATGAGCGCAGGTGCAGTAAGGGACGGCTAATGCAGTAAAGTGCGTCTAGTGAGCAGGTGCTACCTCTCTTGTCTGCCCCGTATTTTACCGCTTCTCTATTCCTCAGGGACTGCAAGGGCATGTGCATCTGACATGAGTGCAGACGTGGTAAAGATGTCTACAGCAAGTGAAGCAGCGCTCTCTTCGGAGAGTACTCGGCCCTCTTCCTTCTCTCCGTCTACGACCTCTCAAATCAGTCCAGCAGGGACAATCAGGACAGCCTGCACTTTGCTTGTGCAACTGTGTTTGTTTCACCCACTTCGTTGTAGCTATGTGGCCGGATTATTTTGCCGCGCCGCCACCAGCAACACCATATGCACCAACAGCCCGACCGGTGCTTAATCAATTTCACCAGAACACCTGGGTACCGCAGTCACAAAGCTACCCAGCAATGATGCCAACCGGCATTGCTGCCACTCAGCAGCCCACACTGCCGACACAACCCACTACGATTCCTGTTGAGCAAACGCACGGCTTCCCCATGATGCCGTGTGGACACACTGCTCCTATTCCACAGCATCCGACGGTCTACACACATCTCAGCACACCACA